GTGTCACATGATAAGAAGGGATCAGTCCCCTAGGGGTGAGTATGCTATGTCCTCCCTACCTTAAATGCCCAGCCCAGGGCCTACACATAGAAGATACTCATTAAGATGTTGACTGGTAAGTGGTTGAGTGAACTAATGAGGGTGAGCATTGAGAATGTAAGAGAGTGTCCAGAAAAGAACTGTATTAAAAAAAAAAATCCATGCTGGCTTTGCATTTGCACTTACTTAACGAAATCACTTAAATCCATCTCAGGGGATTCTATTGTTGCTGGGAGTGCTGGTGAGCTAGCAGTCGCTGAGGTTGCTGGGATGGATTCCATTTGGGACAGGGGGCCACTGTAGGGCTTCTTTGGCAATGTCGTAAATCTACAGAGGCATGGGGCAGGGAAAGAAGAGAAAAGAGACATCAGTTTTTGCAAATCAGTTCCCAGGTGGATCTCAGTTTCTAAGGCCAAGCTTCAAATCCTAGACCAGGCAGGTCTAGAAGGGACTGCCCTCCACCCTCCCTTGAATTTGCCCTTCTCAAATCTTTGGTGAGGTTTCACTTGCTCCTAAAAGGTTTTCTGACCACTCCCTCTGTCTAGATCCATTATCTCTCCTCCGAGTATCTACAACCCCCTTGGCTTCCTCTCTTATGCTTATTTTTTTTTCAGTTCTGCTAGACTGAGGGCTTGTATCTAATGTGGTGTCTAAAAGAATGCCTGGCCTGGAGTAAGTAGTCAGGCATGGTCATAAATGAATGAGTTGCATCCTACTCTCAAATAACCAAACAGCAGCACCAGGGACAGAGTGAGGGTGAGGTATACCTTATCTGGGTCCTGGAAGTGCAGGCTTAGCCTTTTTGCATGACCTTGCCTGTGATAATGTTGTGACCTTGGCAACTAGGTTGCCACACCCTAGTCCTCTTTCTACTGCTGTGCTTTGCTGTTTATTCAAGTTCTCTGAGCAGAGGATCCAAGGGAAAAATCTGTGACTATACTAGCTGGGGCCCATAAGTTTAGGTTTCATTGACCAAAAAGGCCTCTGGATTTCACAAAGGCCAAGGTGGTGGGGTCACCACATTCTCCCTACTCCTCTCAGTGTGTGGCTTTTTCTGGACTCCTTCCTGCCCCTCCCACACTCATCTCAAGCCCTTGATATTGATTTTGGCACATTTCACTTTACTTATATGTTCATTGTAGTTCCATATGTACTCAGAGGCTCAGCAGAAATGTCATCTCTTATATGAAGATTCCACCACTGTCCTATCTTCCCATTGGAGGTGATTTTCCCTCCCTTAGAAGTTTCATAGAATTTCAACTGAATTTCTTTTAGGACACTGTCCATTCTGTCATGGAAAGCCATTTCCTAAATTTTGGACATTCCACTAGCACTTTCATGTTTTGTAAGCATACAGTCTGATTTTTTAAAATAAATATGCTGGAGGTGCCAAAAAATGTATACATATTTTAAGAGATATTATTTATGTAACTTTTCCAAGTTGAATTGAATTACAGTGGTATTATTTAGTATGACATTCGCTCAAAAGATGGTGTTAATCAAATGAATGCAAGCATCACCATGCAACAGGCAGGACAGTCAAAGAAAAGGGCAGAAGCATGGATGTTGTTTAAGAAGCACAAGACCATTTTGAAGCGATATTTGAATGTCAAGAATGTTGTGGAAGTCCAACAACAATGGAGTGAGAATGCAGCAGAACCTCCAACACGCCTAACAATGGCATGCATTTGCGATAAGTTTGAGATGTATGGTACTGTGTGTGATGTGCACAGGGGCAGATCTGGAAGGTCTCACACAGCAACAAGTTCCTGCTTCTTCTGCTATGGTGTTGGAACAGATGACATGTTTACCACAGAAGTCTATAAAAATGTGCATGGGAGATAGGAGTTAATAGAACAAGCATACGATGTATTCTTAAAAAAGCATATGTTTTCGTTCCTCTTCGGTAAATTCCTAGAAAGGAAATTGCTGGGTTGTATCATATATGTATATTTAACATCATAGGAATTTCCAGATTTTTAACAATCTTCCCAGGTGATTCTAATGGATAGTCAGATTTAGGAGTCACCACAGGTAGGAATGACAACATGACAACTAAGGATGAAGCTGATAATTAATCTGGGGCTATCACTGTAGCCTTACCGGTTAGGGACAGCGAAAATCTACAAAGAACAATTTTGAACATTTATTAAATCACTCCAGGTCAGCCAAGACACCTGAGAAGACTTTGTTGGATTGCTTCCCCACACAATAGCACTCTCCCATCCAACATTTACACTCCCCAGGGATGTTGTACTGAATAAAGAAAGAGCATATGAGAATAGCTGTAAAGGAAAAATACAAAGCTGTAGAGGGTCTGTGTACCTAAGGAAAAACAGCACCTCAGTTGACAATGATACCTGGACAATTGCGAAGTGAGAGGTTTCTTTGGAAACAAACAGAAGAGAGACAGAAGCAGCCTTCACTGATAACAGCCTGAGCCACGGGAGACAGTGAAATCTTGACCGTAATGAAAGCTTCAAGTTGTCATTAAAATTGGAAAAACTGCTCCAAAAAATTGAAATAAAAAGTTGGTAGAGGTTTTTTTTTTTGGATCAGATTTCATTTTACCCTCAGGAACAGATGATTACTGTCCTATTATGCTGACCCAAAGAACATTCGATTCAGTTATTTTTAAAAGAGAATGCATAGCAAACAAGAACCATCAATGTTGCTCCAGTTCCAGAGTTCCCCATATCAGAATTGCTGGAGGAGCTAGGAAAGAAACATCCCTTTCAGCTGCAACAAGATTGTGTGTGTGTCAAACACACACTGATTAGCAACACGGGCTTGGATGCAGTGGTTTCCCTCTTCGTGTTTTATTTTCATCTCTTGGGTAAGGATTCACACAGTCTTTTGTGATGCAAATTAAAAAAATCTGCCACTTTTTTTCCTGTTATCTTTTCACTGGAAGCAGTGTGGTGCCAAAATAGAACCCCAATGAACAAGCTTGTGTTAATATTCTGTGGTAGTTTGCATGATATTAGCAGATTGAACAATGGATGCTGTACACCCACTGAAATCTCAGGGGAAGAGGTGGTAGGGTGGGCAGCCAAGTAATAGACACGATGGCTTCTAATTCACTAATTCATTGGACTTGGATTTTAGGAGTGCCCACTACAAAGGATGAAATCAGTCACTGGCTGGATAAAAAGGGCCTGCACATGATACTTAATATTTTTTTCAAATTACTACAGCAGATACTGTAGTTGGTGCACTTTATTGGGACAATGCACCTATCCCCCAGGTGCTGTGGGTGTTGGCTGTACCTTCCTCTGGGGCATCGCCCTGGCCTGATGGGAACTGCTTCACCCACTCTGAGCTGTCTGGGAGGTTATGCCTTCCCTGTCATTAAGGCATGATCTGTAGACAAAGGAATGATTGATGGAGGTGATGGCTATAAGAACCCAACCTCCTTGTCTCTGAGTGGGATAAACTCTGTGATACAGTTTATACTCCAGAACTCCCCTTTCCCCCTGCCCTATCTTATGTCCCTTACTCTTTCGTTGTATCTCCTGAGAGCCCTCCCTCAATAAAGAATCACCATTTCAGGCTCTGCTTCTAGGAATTCACTATAGTGTTCTAAGATTCATGATTCCAAAGATGAGGAGCCCAATTCTTCCTTCAAGGAACTAAGAGGCCAGGGGGTCAAGAGTTAGAGAACAGAAATGGGTGTTCTGTAGGGTACAAGTGCTCCAGCAGGGAGACATGCAGTGCATAGTAGGTTTGGAGAAAGACCATGGCTTATGGTTTTGGGTTTGAATTCTGGTTTCCCTTCTATGCACCATGTGGTCTTGATACTGTGTTAGTGACAGAATCCTCTGCATCGGGTTGTTGTGAGGCTTTGTTCACATAAAGAACTCCATGGTGCCTGGGTCATGGCAATGAATGTGAGCGTTCTTGTGCTGGGTTGGTAATTACCGTCATTTTTGGAATTCAAATGAGGGAGATACTAACTATTCCTAGATGTATGGGGATGTCTTCATGAAGGAGAATATAGCCTAACTGAATCTGAAAGAAAGAAGGGTTCTTTTCAGACGAAGAGTGAAAGGGATGTCCAGGTTGAGGGGAAAGTGTCTGAAAAAGAAAAAGGGTGGCAAGAACTTGGATTCTCCAGGGACAAGGGGGAAGTTTGTTGTATGAGGAGAGTGTGTGTAGGTGCCAAATGGAAGCATATGATAATGATGATGAGGACAGCAATGATGAGGAATATAAAAATAATGAGGTAGGGGTCAGTAATGGTCAGCACTGGGGGCAGACATGACAGGAAGGGGGGATAGTGTCCCTGGGGACAGGGGAGGTGCTGATGCTCCAGCCGCCCCATCATTTTGACTACTCTCACCCACCCCTTCCTCCTGGTACTGGGTAGAGGAGGTTTCCAACTACAAAGAGCAAATGTGGAGGCAACCAGGTAATAAAGGGGTTTTGAGTGTGGTGGCCCCCACTATCTCCTCTTCTAATTTTCCTGTTCCCATCCTTTCTTTCTAGCAAGCCGCTCAGCCTTGTTCAGGGAGATGGTAATGAGAAGAGAGTTTTATAGAGGAAAATGCCATAAAAAAATGAATCTATAATAAGGTGACTAGAGTTCTTCTATAATAAAACAAAAGGAAGACAAAAAGTTTTATAACATTCAAAATTGAAATGAAAATGTTAGGCTGCAGAGTGTCAGATGGGCTCTTCATCCCAGGCCATGGTCCTGCTACACCACCTGCTAACATGCTTTGGTACTTCCCATTTCTCTCCATCTTCATCAACATCTCCTTGAACAAGCCTCCTGCTGTCTGTGTCTGAATTTCTAACATAGTTTTGGTCTTCCTGATTTTTATTATCGTGTAAATGATATAAAAATAGCAAATCCCCACTGGGTCATGTTTTCCCTCACCATTTATAGAATGGCTCAAAATTATGGTCATTCTAGGGTTGTCCCCTTTTGATCCATGCTCCATCCTGCAGCCCAAGTGAAATTTCTGATTATTTCCCTCTCCCATTTAAAGCCTTTTAGAAGACTCCCCATTATCCTGATGACAAAGTCTAAACTCCTTAGTGAGGCTTACAAGGCCCCTCGTTGTCAAGACTCCCACTCTTCTCCCACCAACCCTGAGCCTTTCTATCCTTAACTCTTGCTTCTCGTCTGCCCAGCTCTAGACTAAACTTCTTTAATTTACCAAGAAGGTTCTTTCCCATTTATATGTCTTGGAATATGTCTGTCCCTCTGTGCAAAATACTTTCCCCATCTCTATCCCAGTTAACATTTACTTAACCTTTAAGAATTAGTGTAGATGTTATTTTCACTGGGACATCTTTCCTGAAGATCCCATATTATAATT